CTATGTCTTGGGCTACTCAAATATTTTACGTTTTTGATACTAAATTAACTTCTGAAGTATAATTTTTTATTGTTTTTATATTTTTCAATATATTTATTTTGTTTGTACAAAATAAAGAAATCATTTTTAACGATACAATAGCCACGATTATTATTTTAAAAAGTTTACGTTAGGCGACGAAAATTCAACGCGAAGCGACACGCAACGGAGAAAAATTTTAACACGGGGTAATATATTTTTTCGTACATAATCGGTTATCCGAAAAATAAGTTATCCGAACAACCCCAGTCCCCAATTGATTCGGATAAAACGATGCTCCACTGTAATCAAATACCGTATTTACTTGCTTATAGTTCATGCTGCCATTATAGCAGAGTTCTATCCAGATCAAGGTGAATGTCGCTTTTAAACAGATGACCCGAAAACAACCAGTCACTTAGCAATGATTATAAATGTAGTTATTTCATATCTGTTAAATTGGTATTTTTAATGAATATTTGTACATTCTGAATCATTAAAAATAAACTTTTTCCTGTCACGTGCATTATAATCTTATGGTTTTGTTACATGGGTGTCGGGTGCGTGGAAAAGCAATCTTCAGAAGCTGATAGAAGTCATTCAGGAAAACTGTATTTTAAATTCACTCGACGGATCAGAGGACGATTCTTTGTGGAGTAAGAGTGAAAAAAGAGGAGAATCGTAACGAAGCTTCGGAGGGCGAGTCCGAGTAGACAAAAGGTGAAAACGTCAAGAAAACATGGTTGTTTGCCTTAATACGTGCATTCGATGATAATTTATTTGTAATTAAACGAAATAAAATTAGAAATTGTATTACTAAATCTAATTTTCTTTATTTTGATCTTTAAAGTAACACCTCGTCCTATATGCGAGATCGTCTTTTATACGCGAGTAAATACTGTATTTTACGTATAACGTTTATTCAAAGAAAACTACATAATATACATTGTTAAGGAGCGTGAATTATCGTCATCTTTTCTTCAAGCATGGAATGAACCAACCTGGAATGCGAATTCGATTTGCAGAAAACAAAAAATAGCATGATAGAGCTGCGGAACTTCCCCTCTCCTGGTCACTCGTTATGCGAAACTTCGCTCGTTAAGCGAGTCATTTTTTTTTTAAATTGACTTGCTCGTTATGCGAAAAACTCGTTACGCGATGTGCTCGTTAAGAGAGATTCCACTGTATTAATAAACAGTCCTTAATAGGATTAAGATTCCATTCGTTTTCGTTTCTCGCTGTCGCTAAGGCTACGTTTATGCAAGAGGAGAGAGAAAAACAGGAGAAGAGGGAAAACCAAGAGAACCAAGAATACTCGCCTACAGGAATAGGCTTATCTCCTTATTTTCCCTCATGCAAAAGCTTAATGGAAACCCTAAAACAACCGCTACAAAATTTTTAAACTCCTCATCTTCCTCAAGTTATTCAGATATTCTTTTTCATATATTATATAAATTACTTCGGTAGATCGCAAATAAGTATACAAATTAACTTCCGGAACGAGGTGCTTCCGGTGGGAGGACAGTGTTCAAAAGACGAACTGTCTAGCTGAAACTAGACGTCTAGTCATCCATATTTTACATTAATATACAGTATATATTCGTTGCAAGTTCAGGAAAATCTTTTATAAGATATCCACGTAAGATAAAAACTCATCAAATTTAAAATAAATCTAGCGACGGGTTGTGTAACTTTTCTGGGTTTTATGAAATTTTATTTTAAAAGTAAACATTTGTATAATTAATCAAAATAAATAACTAAAATTGTATGTGGCGCCATCTCTTATGAGATTTTGTTATAAAAACTTATATATTTTTTTATTTATTTGAACTACTACTTTCTTGGTTCTATAAAGTTATACCCAATGCTCCAAACCATACCCCAACGCCCCAAACCCATTTTCTCCTATCTAAGAACGGCATGGAAATATTCCTATTAATTTAATCACTTTTGACTGCCCCTTAGCGGGATTGGCTGAACTCATAATGAAAATGAAAATGCTCTTGTTAATTAATGCCTGAAGAACAGGTAATTAAAAAAACCCTCCTATTTTTAAATTAGCCTAAAGAATCGATTATTCAATGCTTCTGTATTAATTATATAATGCTGTAATTTATTGATAAACAATATGTTAGATAATTAAAATTAAAACTGATATCATACAGAAAATACAATTTATTTATATTTAAATTTTCAGGTACATTTTAATTAAGAAAATAATTTAATATATACCTTTTGATAAAGTAAAAGAATATAATGAAATTCATAAAAATTACAATTTTACAACTCTATTTTAAATATTTATTTTGAAATTTCAAATTATAAGAACTTAATCATTAAATCTTCACTTCATTTGTCTTTCCACAAGCTCATGACATCCGTTCCTGCAGTCTTCTCTTTGATTCTATCTTCCATTCTCCTCTCTTGTTCAGGGCTAAAATGATTTTTCCAGTCACCAATAATACCTTTACGAACGAAATCACCTTTAAAAGTCGGTGAGAGTTCAGGATGTTTTTTCAAATATGCACGAAAAGCTTTAACACCTGATGGTACAGAGATACCTTCAGGAAGAGATCCCATATAAGCAATATAAAATCCCACGGTATCTTTCATATATTTAAAGCTACTATAACGAAGAACATTCTCTAAAATGTCTGGATTATTGATCAGAATATCATGATATTCGTCGCCCATAAATTTGGCAATTTTTAGAATATAATTTCGCGTATCCAATTTCAAATCTTCGTAGGTTATAAATAAAACATTAGGATCGTCTTTGTGTTCGTACCATGATAAAAGATGATCGAAATAATCTCCGTAATCTGTTTTACCGTTAATGAATAACTCGAAATATTCATCGAATGTGCCATCGGCGAAATTGTAAAGTTCTAAATCTTTTGTATGATAATAGAAAGATACGCAACAGTCTTTTGGGTTTCTTGCCACATATATATATTTGGCATCCGGAGAATACGGTGTTAAATTAAAAGGTAAATGAATTTTGATCGCTCCAGGTTCATCCATATAATCTACAGCATCTGCTCCAGTAAACTCCAAGAAAGGCGAATTTTTCATCAATTCAACAATACCACTTAAAGGTTTGCCTTTTCTAAATATCAGACTAACTATTTGTTGTGACCATGTAGTACCACATTTAGGATACGTGACTATAAACAGTTGGCCCGGTTTGGGTTTATAATTGACGGCAGAACGAAATGCTTCTCTTGAAAAAGCTCCGACAATAAGAAATCCATCGCAGTCTATGTAATGAGGCCGTTTTATTTCATCTTCCATGTCAAAAACTCTAAATATAAAACAATGAAATTATAAGCACGAATTCTGTACATAACTTAGTTTTAATATTTAAATATAACCTAATACTGTTAAGAATTTTATTTTATTTTTTTTCATTTTTGACATTTTTCGTCGTGTAGGTATTAGAGGCTGTCAACTGTGGTTACTAGAGGGTCTTTTCTCCAAAAACATTATGGATTCGACCAAGATTGCGATGGGGCGACCTGTACTGAAGAATTCGCTCGACATATTTGATACGAGGTTCCCACAAAAAGTTCATGAATTTTGCCCAGATTCGATCCTAGATCACTAGATTAACGTCTCAACCACCTTGTCATTCGGACCTTAGCAATCTAGTTTACAAATCACCCGTCAATGAGTTCATATTTATGTTTGAAATGTTTTTAATTAGAATTATATGGGACGTGACCACGAGTAGTAAATGTGGCAGCTTGCCGCTGTGGAACCTGAATCACGATTCAAGGTCCAGACAGGTAAAAAAATCCTAGGAATTTTTCTAGAAGTAGTTCTTCCTGATGTGTCGGGCCCCGACTCTCACCACCCAGCCGTTCATTGTGGGCCTGGGCGAATCCATAATGGGCTATCTAAGAAAGTCCTCTTAGTGTGCGTAGGGCGGAAAGAGTTTTAAAAAACCCACTGTCACTAAAGTGATATGATTTATGTGATTTTGCAATAATGCAATCTTTTAGAACTAATAGTAATAAAACTGAATTTTTATTGCACTGTAAAGTATATGTAAAACTTAAAGTAATGCGTTAGCTTCATGCAAGAGTATAAACAAATAAAAAGCTCAAAACTGATCCTATTTTAAGATGCAGGGTGGTCAAGCTGGTTAAAGTGTCGATTTGTGCCTCGGACCTCTTGGAGAGGTCCGAGGCACAAATCTTGGTCAACTATTTCAGGAATTTTGTAGGTGTCTGTCTCTCACTACCCAGCCATCCCTATTGCAGGCCTGACAAAGCCCCTTATGGGCATGGGAAAAGAAGTTCTCTTATTGCTCACATAGTGGAAAGAGTAATTTCTTTTTAAAAAACGAAAAAACATTCTACTTCAAAAAACAAAAGACTACAATATCTCACTTGTATCTGGTTTCACATCACACTATAATACTTTTTAAATTCAGTATATACTGTAAATTTGACTGATCAAAATACTAAAAAATATAATTTCTAAAAATAAAAGATTATCTTTAGATAAGATAAACATTCTTTCTTAAACCGATTTCGGGTCATTTAAACCAGCAGACAAATAATTAACAAAGATACTATACTTCAGCCAACATTATTTCTTTTATTATTTTCAAATTTCTCTCCAAATGCATTTCGCCGTTACAGCCTCATCGGTGCATTATCCAACATCGAGCAACTCGTTCCCTTTTATACAAATAAATCTTTCCCAGCATACATCAATATTTAGACCGACATTCTGATTTAACAAATTTACACGTTCAGCAATACAAAAATGCTCTACCACTCGTCTTTTAAACCAATTTTCCATTTTATACAATTATAATTACAGTAGAACCTCGATTATCCGCCCTAATTGGGGACTGGGGTTGGTCGGATAATTGAAAAGTCGGATAACCGAAAAGTATGAAAAAATCCATTATTAGTGTAGTATATTATTATATCCCATGTAATTAGTATATTAGTATATCGCTATTAACCTACTTTGCGTTGAATTTTCATCGATGTTAAGCCTAACAAAAATTTTTTAAAATAATAATCGTCGCTATTGTAGCGCCACATCACTAGCGGACATTTGAAATTTGCCGACTAGGACGGTCGGTTAACCGAGGGGTCGGTTGATCGGGGGGCGGATAATCGAGGTTCTACTGTACTACAGTGTTGATACCACGGTGACTCTTGTCTTTTTAGATGAATCGCTGCCACGTGTTCTTTTAGGCGTGTCTCGAGCCTCCGTCCCGTTTCTACAACATATGATTTCGCTTGCAAACAATCGCACGATACTTTGTAAACCACTCCTGCGACATCAAGATGATTTTTTACTATATTTATAATATTAATAATATTCGACATTTTGTTTTCCTGCTTGGCCACTACTCATATAGAAAACTTTTTTAAAAATGGGTTTATATCGTTCGTAAAGATTATGTATATAAGGCATTTTTACATAAGTATTATTATTTATACAATTTTTTACATTATATCTGTATTTTATAAAAGAATTATACCACTTACAAATTTTACTCTTCAATAAATATTTTCTAAATAATAGTTTTATTTCTTTATTTATATCTTCCTGTAGTGATGTTCTGTCTAGTATTTTCCTCAATTCCATAATAAACACATTTCTCTTAGTATCTACAGGAACAATAAGATTTATAACTAATTGTTTTTTCTGTATTACATAATTTTTCATACTTACGAAACACCAGTTGCGTTTTCTCACGTTTAATAGTCACATCCAAAGAGTTTATTTCCTGATTCTGTTCTAATTCACTTTTGACTACCCAAAGNAATTAGTGCTAGTGAATTAGAACAGAATCAGGAAATAAACCATTTGGATGTGACTATTAAACGTGAGAAAACGCAACTAATGTTTCCTAAGTATGAAAAATTATGTAATACAGAAAAATCAATTAGTTATAAATCTTATTGCCCTATAGATACTAAGAGAGATGTTTTTACTATGGAATTGAGGAAAATACTAAACAGAACATAACTACAAGGAAGATATAGATAAAGAAATTAAACAATTATTTAGAAAATACTTATTGAATGACTACCCAAAGAGTAAAATTTGTAAGTGGTATACGAGTAATTCTTTTATAAATTACAGATATAATGTAAAAAATTGTATAAATAATAATACTTATGTAAAAATACCTTATATACATAATCTTTACGAACGATATAAACCCATTTTTAAAAAAGTTTTCTATATGAGTAGTGGCCAAGCAGGAAAACAAAATGTCGAATATTATTAATATTATAAATATAGTAAAAAATCATCTTGATGTCGCAGGAGTGGTTTACAAAGTATCGTGCGATTGTTTGCAAGCGAAATCATATGTTGTAGAAACGGGACGGAGGCTCGAGACACGCCTAAAAGAACACGTGGCAGCGATTCATCTAAAAAGACAAGAGTCACCGTGGTATCAACACTGTAGTACAGTAGAACCTCGATTATCCGCCCCCCGATCAACCGACCCCTCGGTTAACCGACCGTCCTAGTCGGCAAATTTCAAATGTCCGCTAGTGATGTGGCGCTACAATAGCGACGATTATTATTTTAAAAAATTTTTGTTAGGCTTAACATCGATGAAAATTCAACGCAAAATAGGTTAATAGCGATATACTAATATACTAATTACATGGGATATAATAATATACTACACTAATAATGGATTTTTTCATACTTTTCGGTTATCCGACT